TCAATTAAATGTAAATTATTCACATTTTGTTGTATAACATATAGGTTCCACATCTGATTGTAAATCTAATCCGTAATCGTCATAAGGTAGGTTAGGGTATACAATTGAAATTTTTAGGTATATTTAATATTATTATATATATATATACAAATAGGTATATTAATTAAGAATACGATATTGTATTTTAATTTATATTTGTAACTATAAACTATAAAGTATAATAATATCTGTTATTAACTGTACTTTAATCGTTTCTACACAGACATACAGTAAACGAAATTTATTTTCCTCAACTAGGTAATTTATAGTTTATTAATAATAATTTGTTTTTTATGTTAATGAATAAAGTATAGGTGTCTAAGTGCCTAACCTAACCGGTTAACCAGTATTTATATTTATTATTAATAAGTTATTTTATTTATTTTTCCATAATATATAAATTCGAAAGACTTATGCGTTTACGATAGTGACAGTATATATATACAACCACAAGTCTATAAAAGTTCTTACAGGCTATATCATTCATCTTTAGATTTCATTTAAATATTATAATATGATTAAGTAGGTATATTATATTAATAATAAACGTATAATATTAAATATTAATAAGTAACAACTATAAGGTCTAAGATACGCTGCAGTTTGCCCTTAAAGAAAGAAAGTCTACATGATAGCGCAGACATATATTATGATACTTAATATATATACATATATGTATAATACGGTATATATCCATGTCACATGATGGCGTTTCCGGGGGGGGGGAGATATGTTCGATCGCTCCCCAAGGATTTTTTTTCAAATCCCAATTAATCGACATGTTTTTTATGTGTTTGAGCACTAACCAGCTAAAGTCGAGTGAATGAAAAATACCTAATATGCGTTTTGTGATGGGTACCTATAGTTATTGTTTAATATTATGAGATTCGTTGACTTTTTCCATATTTTAGATTCCGAGAACAGAGACATATACCTATTGATTTAACTGCACATTTATTGCAATGATGTGTTTTTTGCATCTGAAGACACTTTTTGTATAGTAGAAGAAATCAAAATATCATAATGGTTTCTAATGTCTCTATAGTAGCAAATTGGATATAATTGGTACCTACTTCAGGGAGTCAAAACTAAAGTATTATTTACTTAATAGCCAGGAAAAAATAAAAATAAATTTACGGAAAAATAGTAATGTACCAATTTTTGACTTATTGTTATTTAGGCTATCTTGTCGTATGCGCTTAACCACTCGATTACAATATCTGATGGCATTTAATGTGCAATAGCTACTCAAAAGATAAACATTTTGTGGAGATACATGCTACTGATATTATAATATATATTTGTATACGATTATATTTTGTTGGTAAAAATAAGTTCAGCCCACGGCTATAAATACTATATGGAGTATGATTGCGGGACGCAGTGCCGGCGTTATAAGATTTTGAGGGGGGGGGGTGAGGTCAAGTATTTGCCGACTGAAATATAATTTATGCCGACTGTAAAAATGTCGACCCACAATTTCTTAAAACAAACTATGTGAAGTACCTATAAAAATCCATGGTTTTTCTGTATAATTGGTAAGGTGTGCTAAAATAATTAAAATTTGATAAATATTATACTAAGAAACATAAGGTATAAAAATTTTTAAAAAATTGAACTAAAACATTTTGAATAGTTCTATGCATATAGTCTGTTATACTACTGATTGTTACTTGAAGATCATACAGCCGCTAGCCGTACAGGTAGGTACACTGTACAGGATTGTCTGGATTATTTAAACTTTAAAAATTGTGTATTATTAAATTAATATATGATAAGGGTTATAGGAACAAAAATCTAAAATAAAACTTCGGCATCTGCATGTTACACTTATGGAAGAACCTAGGTAAACCACCGTCGTGTGAAAATTGATCAGGAACTTAATACTTTTATATTGATTTGGGCTTGGCATCACTACGCTTGGCATCCATTTCCATCGTATACAAATTTTGACAAAATTGGATACTCAAAAGAAGGATAAATTAATACCGTTTTTTGTTTGTAATGTTTAATAATTTAATTCAAATTTAACACATCTTTAACACTGAATAGTGACTTACTAAATGACAAGATACACTCAACGGTAAGTGAACATACCCCCCCCTCATACATTTTTCGATGCGGACATAGGAGTGGCAGACTACGGTGGCAGCCTAGGGTTGTGCCCTGCAATTTTTGAAAGGTGCCGATCAACTGGGTTTTAAATCAGAAGGGTTTTTTTAAAACTTGATTTTTTCGTAATATTTACCATTTACTTACAAAGAAATGTTCAATAAAATTAGGTAGATAATATATTTATTTAACATGTATTGTAAAATTGATTTCCTGACTTCAGAAATCGGAAAAACCTGCTATAAACAAAAAGTATAAACACTTGAGACATAAATGTTAATTTAGATAAAATCGCTTAAATAATTTTAAAAATTCAAAGATACAAGACAAGTGTAAGTTGAGTACTTTTTCATTTTATACACATATTTTATATAACAGCGAAGACACTTCTAAAACACAATTTAGATAATATGTTTATATTTTTTAAACTATTTTATAATTCTGTAATTATTTTGGAGTAAATCCGCAGTAGTACCAAAATATGAAAACTATACGTCATATTTAACATAAAATATTATACCGCTGATTAAAACACCTATCGTGAGGACGGACTTGGACTCAAAATGTATTAGTTTGTACACAGCACAGTAGTACATTTATGTATATAATATAAACTATAAATTAGGTATCTATTTTAAATTTTGACGAGCGTATGCGTAATTATATAAATTTATACGTATTCATAATAATATATTGTGTACATTGTGCATACTCGTAACCTTAATGCTCAGTTATCCACCATAATATTTTACTGTTAAAAGCGCAGTTATAAACATATAAAATCGATTTTATAGTCGTCACAATCCGTTAATACGCTGTCCATGAGCATAATATTATTATTTACTTGTTACTAAATACTTTTTATCGACATCATTAATATTTACTACAACTCCAGTATAATACGTCTTGCAGATTTACAATCGAAAGTGTATTTTTATTTGACTTCAGACATTCGACAAATGTCTGATACAGAAATCGATTTAGGAAATTGGAACTTAAAAAGTATACTATCAAGAATCGTACGAGGTTTGTTAAAAATGTTGTTTTATATTATTTTCTACTACATTACTTTTAGCACAGTCTTTATTTTTACATTCATAATTTACTCATTGGCGTAACTGAACTCTGAAAGTTTTGAGGGGAGGCAGATAGATTGACAATTACGCATTATTATATTTCACGAATTTTTATTCAACAGTTTGTTTTTTTTTTATAATAATAATATTAGGATATGATATTAGTTAATGTTATGTGATCTCCTTGTAATATTGTTTCCCTGACAATCGTTTTTGGTAGTCAACATAAACAACTATAATAGTATTTTATAATAGTATAACGCGAAACGAGCTTGTAATATTTTTTCCAGAGAATTTTCTACGGTTTATCAGGCATTTACACGCTGTACGTTCATACGTTTAACGGGGATTTATCACTATAACATAGAAAATCATATAATTATGTGGTTTTGGAAGATCTTTGTGATCAGTTTTTCTCTCTCATCAATTTGGTTGGATCGTGGTGGCTGTGCACCGTACAACTATTTTGGCGTCGAAGATATTGTGGACAATTCGGATGTCCGGCGGCCGTGGTCGAAATCTGGCAGCCAAAAAACACGTCTTGTCCTAGAGTAAGATATTCAGAATATTGTTTTTCCTATTTTTGAATGGTCGCTTTCATAATATTACTATATATACATGTTAAAGTAATAACGATAATATTATTATGGTCGATCTAATTTATTTTTTCAATGAAATCAAATGATTTTCATGATGTTTGCGTTTCATACAGTGTTTCGGAAACCAAATCTACGAATAATCTTCCGACTCGCGGCCTCTTTTACCCGGATGACATGTTTTTCACCAATTGGGTGCCGAACGTATCCATTACTGAAGAATGTTCCAATTCATCAGGGACGACTCCGTCGTGTTCCATTTTAAAGAGCACTTTGAAAACAAAGTAAGTGTTGAAATCTCTATTTTTAAAAATATACGACCCTGTGCGTCGGAAACTGGTTTTTGTTTGAGGTATTCGTGAAAATCGACGACATTGATGATAAGAGAGCTTGAGTACACAATATTTTGATATTTATACTATTTTTACGGGACTTACGACAAGAATATTTAGTTGTATTAATATTATTTATATGCTACTCAACATATGACGAAACGACATAATATTGGGTAGGTAACTTAACGTAATTCGAGTTCGAAATTTTGAAACGAGACGACTGTGACTTGTCCAAAACGTTTAATCATTTTTTAGTCCACACTTAGGCATATTTTTACAGGGCCTATAAATCCTATATCTAAGTATAGCGTGATATTATGCCTTCTAGAATTAATGATAAATCAACTAAACACCAGACAACACTCGGTCAGCAAAAATCCACGTCTGCTGTGAAAAGTTCGTTGAGACACAAACACACATCCACGTCAGGCGTGTTAAGGTCGTCGAGCCGCAAGAAAACGTCCACGTCAGGAGTGTTAAGTAGTTCATCGAGTCGTGAGCAAACGTCCACGTCAGGAGTGTTAAGTAGTTCATCGAGCCGTGAGAAAACATCCACGTTGGGCGTGTTGAGATCGTCGATCCGCGAGAAAACGACTACGTTTGCTGTGCCAAATTCGTCGAAGGGGCAAAAAACATCCACTTTTTCTGCGTTGAGTTCGTCGACGGAGGAACAAATGTCCACGTCTGATGAACAAATTTCAACGAGCCATCTACAAACTTCCGAGTTTGCTCGGCCGAGTTTGCCAAGACGCCAAAAAACGTCCACGTTTGTTGCGCCAAGCTTGCCGAGACGCAGAAAACAATCCACGATTGCTGTTACAAGTTTATCGAGATACCATAAAATGGTCACGTTTTTCGTTCCAATTTCACCGATTGGGCATACCAAGTCAAGGTTTGATGGGCGAGGTACGACAAGCAGCCCAGGCAACTATGATTTTATAGTGGAAAGTTCGACCAGCGGACAACGTAAGTATTCCCTTTATAATTCTTCGAGACACCGACGAAAGTATACGGTTGACGTGGACAATTCGTCTAGTGGACACAGAAATCCTACTAGTAGTCCGGCATCAACAATGGCTGACCATGCACCTGACCTCGACTACTTTTCGTACAGCGAAGAAAGGCGTTGATTTATTTATGAAGAACTGTTGACCGTCGATCACAAATAAATCAACGCCTGTACTAAAAGTAGTCGAGGTAAGATGTGTGGTCATCCGTTGTCGTTGCTAAATTATGCGTAGAATTTGGGTGGCCACTCGACGAACTTTCGAAGTCAAACGTAGACTTTCGTTGGTGGCTTGGTGAATGTTGCGCCGAATACTTTCGTTGTCGACTGATCAAACTTGGCACTGTGAAATAAGAGTTTTGTTGGCGGCTAGTCGTACTTCGCACATCAAACATTGATTTTTGTAGCCCAAACGGTGAACTTGGGACAAAAAACGTGAACACTTTAGGATATCTCGACAAACTTGTCACAGCAATCGTGGATTGTTTTCTGCGTCTCGGCAAGTCTTCCTCAAACTTTTCACAGCAATCGTGGACTGTTTTCGGCGTCTTGGAAAACTCGGTTTTTCAAACGTGGACGTTTTTTGGCGTCTTGGCAAACTCGGCCGAGCAAACTCGGAAGTTTGTAGGTGGCTCGTTAAACTTTGTACATCAGACGTGGAAATTTGTTGCTTCGGCAACGAACTCCACACAGAAAAAGTGGATGTTTTTTGCCCCCTCGACGAATTTAGCACAGCGAAAGTAGAGGTTTGCCCGCGGCTCCTCGACACGGTACATCAAACAAAATATGGTTTCTCGACAATGCGTAGTATTTTTAATTTGTAATCCTTATTAATATGTTGTATGTTATGATGTAATTATCACGTTTGATAATAATATAGTTTCGAATATTAGATAAATTATTAAAAGATTAAAAAAACTATGTCAATAATTAAAAAACTTAGTCATAACTCATAACAATATGGTATTGGTATTTGTATTTGTTGAGTATAAAAGGCAGTCAATACAGCTAACCCACGGTATTTAAAAATTTTAAACATGTGAAAGATACGTCTGCCCTGCCAAAGTGAAAGACAGTAACTGATAATCTTTCGTAAATGCAATTATTGTATTTGGTAATTTTACATAAATTTTCTTAGGTTTAAATCAAGTTAAGCGTCAATTAGACCATCTAAGATCTAAATGAGCTTATTGAATATTTACTATATACCGAAATATTACTGAATACTAGACAAATAAGCAGTAAATTATAATATTTCCTAGAAAAAATTTCAGCATAATATTATGCAGTGTAGTAACAGCTTATTAAATTTATTTGGCGGTATGCATAACGCGGATAATGTATAGTGTCTTACACAGATCACTTTAAAATTATCTAGATAAGATAAGTGATAATAGATGATACTTTGACAATTTATATAGATGAGATAATAGATAATTGAATGTATCTAGATAAAATATAAGATATCCTACTTTTTATCCAGATAAAAAACAGATAATTTTACAATTTTTTGGATTTTAAGACTTTATAAATTAAATTATGATGTATACACTGTACACACATTTCTAATTTTTTAATTAATACCTTTTATTATTTTATATGAATGTATAATATGGTTTAAATTAACAAATTCAGATAAAAAAAAAAGTAACGCTTAACGCATATTAATATATTGGACATTTTAAATAATCTGGACACTTAATTTTATGATAATATTTATCTATTCATTGCAAAAAAAAAAACATAATAATCAATGCAGATAACCCAATCTAAAAAAATTTACAATTTACAATTTATTTTGTTTGTTTTTAAACATATTATACTAACAATCAAAATTATTACGCAGTTCAGATGATGCCTTGTAAACAAGTTGTGTTATATAGAGCGTTGTTTTAAATGTTAAAAATAAAAGTTAATGATATTATAACCATAAAAACAACGGAGTTATAATTTCCTTACAAAAAGCAGTATCTACTCAATCTTGCAAAAAAAAAAAAGGTGTATGTATTTTATTTAGGAAAAGGAAAATTATCCAGAACGATTTCTGTGGTAAGCAACTTCAATTAATAATGAGTAAAACATTATTAAATAAAATTCTTAGAAAGCAAAAAAATTAAAAATAAGAAAAACCCATTTCCAAACATTTGCATTTTTGTAGATACTGCCCTTCAGTATATCAGGGCAGACTATAGGGCAGTATACTCTACAACAACTTGTTTTTAATGATATCAATATAATATCATCTATATGATCTATATCAACTTTGAAACCTACCTTAATCTTAATTGGTATACGCATATAGGTGATATTATTATTATAATAATATATAGGTAAACACGTTATTATTACGTATTGGAGGCTGCAGAAAAGATGGTAGGTAATATAAATAATATAGGTATTATAATGACATATGACATATGTCACTAAAATGAACTGCGGTGACGACGAAACTGTATTTCGTCAAAATTCTCAAATGTAGTAAAATCACGTTTCGTCTTTACACATACACTACATACATAATACGTATTCACACACACACACATATTTATATATATGATTTATGTATGTGGACTGTAGTGATTGTTATTCAAAATAACATAAATTCTACGCACCATTTTGACACTTGTATTGATTATATCCAAAAACTAAAAGTTTTCCCTTGCTAGCAAAGGTTTCTTTTTTTTAAAAAGGGATGCGACGAGGGGTCACCGCCGCGGCACACCCTGAGCGAAAATCGATTGGCCCGCGCACTTTTCCGCGGAGAGGAATATCTTTTGCGGGACAAAGGCTTTTCTATATATTATGTACGATGAGAATAGGACTATCGCCGAAGTTTTATTTTCTTCCAGTGTCGTCGTATTGTTGCATACAATATACATCATCATCGTGTCATTATAATAGTATTATACGTCGTTATAATTATATAGTGTTTGAAAATGACGCATAAAAAATTAAATTTTGAAACTTAATATTTAACAAAAATAGGTATTTCACTATTTCAGTGTATTAATAAAATGTTTTTTCTTTTTAAATGAGTTTGAATTTAACGTGAATTTGTTATAACTTTTATAAATGCATAATATCGGATAAAACCGAACCATACAACAATTTTTAAATGATACAATATCATACAGAATACTTTTATTACTATAACATTAGTATATGTTTATATACTTATTAGTTTCAATATAGTTATTATATCTAATATATTATATGTAGGCATGTGGCAAATTGTTCAATAGAAAATAGGAGCATAGTTTGGATTTATATATTGTAATATTTGCCTATAGCTTATAATATAATTTTATTAGTTAATATATTATTATAATATAATTAGTATGTATAATGATTTATAAAACAATAAACATAATAATCTACAGCATAACAAAAGACCTAATTTATAGATGTATGTTGGGTACTATCGACCACAGCACTCATTGAATTAATATGAATGATTATAGATACTACTCATCGACTATATTATTATTATTATTAACTGATAGATAATTATGATCATTATTTTTATTTGAAAAAAAATTCAACATTTCACATGAAATATTTTAGACTTCAAAAACTAATTATAATAATAAATCACTGTGTGAGTATATAGGTACCGGTACTGCACAGTGCACTATATAACTGATACCATAATTGATTATAAATACTAATACCTAATAATACTATAATAGTGCTAATACTAGTATTAGTATTTATAATCAATGCCGATAACTATTCCGTGGAAGGTACCATTACCAAAAAAAATTCAGGTAAGTATTTCACCAGGCGTATTGTACCCGCAATCATAATAATAAAATAATATTATAAAAATTTTTATCAAACATATTTTATAAATAAAAACCGTGTATAGGTACATACCTATGTATTAAACGTGAGTCGCTCACTAAGATGATGTTAATGGGAGACAGCGACTTACACACAGCAAGGTGGATTTCTACATTCCACTACATACGTGTACTTGTACGTGCATATATTGACCGGATCCGTTAGCTACCAAGTACAAACTTTTCCCATCGGTGAAGATGAGTTAGATCGGTTAGGATTGGTGGAATGAAGACTTTCAAGAAAAAAAATTTCCACTACACACGTTTGCCGTGTACACGACAAATGTTCAGCTATGCCCAACAAAACGGTATCGTGGTTAATCGTGTGGTAACTTAACCTATCCAACCAATCACAGCAAATGATTAATTGTATGCATGTACGTGTATAATAGTGGAAACCCGCCTTTATGTTATCAATATTGTTATCAATATAGATCCGTGTACTGGATTAAACTGGATCCAACTTCATGGTATCGTTTTTAAACCTGTGGTAAGAACGTATAAACACTCTGGTCTCTGGTATATAAAAGCTTACCATGTATACCATATACCAACCAATCACAGAAAAGTATTTTTATGCACGTACGCAGTGGAAACCCACCTTAAGGAGGGTTCACACAGCACGGTGTAGTGTGAACCACGATTTAAGATATCTTAAATCGTGGTGTGAACCCCCCTTTAGAGTTATTTATTTATTTTTATTTATTTATTTATTTTACATTACGGGACTAGCCCAAAGTACAGTTAACGGAATAAGATACAGACAAAACATTATAATAATATAGATATAAAACAAAGACTAAAGATTAAAGACTAGAGAGGTTCTCATTTGCTAAACGCATCATTCGGTGGATAGGGTGGTTTCGGCCATAGTTAGTGGTGTGTCGAGGAACGTAGTAGGGGGCCGTTAGCCTGGAAGACCTACTTGGAACACGAAAGTTTACCTCAGCGAGAAGCTCGGGAGCATTTATGGTACCATTCGTAAGTTTATTTAGGAAGATAATGTTGGCAAAAACTCTTCTATCGGAAAGACTACTAAGTTGTAAGTGGTGTAAGACTGGGGAATAATCGTGAGGTTCATGATGGATATTAAGACAAAAGGATGCAAAATTAAGGAATTTACGCTGAACACGCTCAAGTAGGGAAGAGTCAGAGGTTGTATAAGGATCCCAAAGAATGGAACCATATTCTATTATCGGCCTTACAAGCACACAGTATAAATTTTTGAGAGAATAGGTTAGATTGAAATTAGAAGAGAAGCGTTTTATAAAACCTAATGTCTTTAAAGATTTACAGGTGACGTGCTCAATGTGGGAGTGGTAGTCTAAGTCGGAAGTTAGAAGGATACCCAAATCTTTCTTTACAGTAACTGTACAGTTATACAGCGACCCGGCTCAGTACCGCGGAGATCTCGTATACCAAGGTACATATAGGTATAATATATTAAAGGACGGCGGTGGCTCGAACTTTTTTTCCTCGACTAACATATTTTATTATTTTTACACCACCCGTCCTAAAAATGTTTCCATTTCATCCTTTTAATAATGATACAATATTGTTGTGGGTGCGATTTGACGTACTATTCACGGACTTTCGTGGATGTCGTCGGAATATGGATACACTGTGGCGATTGTCCGACCGGGAATGTACAGGTATTATAATAATATACTTAATACGAATAAAATATTAAAAAATATATACGTAAGGCGGCGGAATATTTAACGATGATGACAATGTAATTGTACCTAATATAGTAAATACTTTTTTTTATATTATTATTACTGTTATATTACGTTATTGTATACACGACCGCCGAGAGTAGGGTAAATAGTTTGAAAAATGAAAAAAACAACAGCCGATGCGAATCGAATTCGTTTGGAGGATAATGGTAAAAACCAATAAACGCGGCGGTGGTTTTTTTGTCACCCAATCGTTTTCACGGCACCGTGGGTTCTATCATAATATATTATTTTTAAGACAAATGTCGTGTACTGCTGACGCTGCCACGAATATCCGGTGCCACGCCATTATGGTGACGGTTAATTCATTTTTTGTCGTAGGCGCGCTCGCGCGTCACTATATAATATAATATATATACCGAACCACCCCCCCCCCCCCCGACAATAACTGCGGTCATAACCTCACTTCGTGTCTCGGCGGTGTTCCGTTCGAGATATTATATAATAATAATAATAATAATATGACGAAACGATAAATTACGGATTTTATTTGTTTTCTGTTTTTTTTTATAGAGGTTTGGCTGATAGGTATTAGGCACTCTTACCCCCATTATTATACATGATATGTACACCGTTGCAGCAGGCGGTGTATCTCATGTCGTTATAAACATGTTTATAATGGCTGTATAAAGTATACTGTATTATAATAGATGGATCAATAAAATAGAATTTAAAAACGAAAAATAACGATACTTTATCAATCCTTCTACGATTGTCTAAAATGTTTAAGCACACAGTGGCAACACATAGACAAATAACATCCTACAACTGTGAACTGATAGAATATTATATCGCTTAACGGATTATGCAGCTAAACATCGCACTTTGTTTCTAAACATTTTGATGGTAAAGTCGTACCAATCAATCAACCAATGACTTTGGTACACTACACACCTAAAACTATTAACACAAGGAATTACGACGCACTACGACCTTCTACAGATTAGTAAAATTCATCAACAGTTTTACTTTTTAGGAGGAAAATACATCCACTTTTTAAGGGGTTCTAGATAGGCAATTCTAAAGACATTCCGAGAAGAATTCCAATTTTAATCTTAAAATATAATATAATATTTAAATACTCAGTTAATGTCAGATGTCACTGTGGCAGTGCCAAAAATAGATACATAATGCTAGACAAAAAGGCGAGTACAATATTTACAGCAGATTTACCAAATTTTTCAAACTAATATACAAGAAAACGTCTTCATAAATATATTATTATATCCTACGGCGTATCGTTTATATTTATATATTTTTTTTATATCAATAAGTACTTACTAACTTGCAATAAACAAATGAATAAAATAAAAAAAAAATGAATCGTTATGAATGATTGATTTGGTTTATCATTAAGTTATAAAAAAAAAATACTACCACTCATATAAAGTAATTTTCTATACTTATGAGTTATGACTAAAATATCTATTGTACGAATTTGGTAAATCTACTGTGACCACGGCTGTGTCTGTAATTTTATCCCACGAAAAACTATTTTTAATGATAAATTACGGGTGATGTGGCGTCCTCCTAATTAAAATAATCGAAACAAATCTAATATTTACTAAAGCTAAGTATAATATTTTATTAATAAATTGTTTATGTTTATGTTTTGTTAACTATATGAAATTTGAAATCTAATGGAGCACACAAAATATTGTGACCGGATCATTAAATGAGCATGTACACGTGCTAACGTGTTTAGTGGAAACCCACCTTGATGTGGTATATAATGTATAGTTGTTAACCACGTTCGCGAACACATGTTTCCTGCAGAAAAGTCCAAAATTGAGACCTGTACCGTCCGATTCTATTGTTGAAACCGATTTTTGTCTTCCAATAGCACGATTGGTATTTCAATAACGTTATGTGCAGATCGAAGACATTCAGAAATCCGAAGAAATGAGATTATGTTATGACAAATATCTGTGACTCTCGTCTCGCATAGGCGCAACTTGTGTTAAAATTCTCACCTGTAACAAAACTATTAATTTAAAATAACCCATAAAGGGCTTATATATAAATCAATAAGCGAAATTCTTTTGAGGTGGGTAGATGGGGCTAAATCGTAGTCAGGGGGGGTTATCCCCCTTCCTAGTTGAGCCACTGCTCGTCAGGTTCATAATACGACTTATTACGGTTTACGATAAACGAATAATCTGAGTAATTATATTATGGCATTATGCTCCCACCGGTTATCATTTTCTGTTTCACGTCGGAAGTTGTTTTCATTTATTTATTATTTTTTTTGTTTTTAATTTACATTAATTTTGATATATACACAGTTTGTACTTATTATTTTACCACAATAAGTATATTGTATATGTGATGAAATAATACAATTAGCTATCGGAGTAAGAAGTCACCTATTATTGACACTTAAGTTCACTTAATTAGTCACTACATTAAAATCCTTTAGGCATATAGATACAAAATCATGGTTCCTTATTTTATAAATTATAATACAATGAGGATTAACTCACCTTTGTGTAATATAACAATCGCCACTGTCCAAGGGGTAAATGACATTATAGCACTGTGTATGACAGGGTGTAACTTAAATAGCCTATCTAGAACGCCGTTTGATTATAATTGTACGATTGAAATTTAAATACAAATATTGTACTTATTATTTCATACATATTTGGCAATTATTTTAATAGTTTATTATATATATTTACTATAATACATAAACCTATTAAGTATTTTTTTTCCCAGCACGGTTCCCTACCTTACGGCAAAATTCTATCTTTAAACAATCATGAAAAAATATTGTTGATTTACGGTCAATGTTTTATTAATTCCAGTATGTTCAACTTATAAGGGACTTTGGATTAAATTTTCAAGCCTTTTGACCAAGCCTTTTCAATGTTTTATTGACATTTATATAAATAAAAATTGAAGACAGTAACATTTTGTAAGTCAACAATTATTATTTCAATACTAATCTCTATTAAAGTTGATATCAGAGCATTTATTCTGCTAGAAAACTTTTCTGTTGACACAAAAAAATATATCATTTTAAAATCATTAGATTGATCGTTGAGAAACCAATTTAAATCAAATCATTAATTATCAGAACTCTATTGGTACTATTGTTAATAACTCGTTTACTAAGTTATAATATAGAATTCAATTTTAGAAAATGCAAAAAAATGGTACCTTCTAGACATATAATTTTAAGAATAATACAATTTAAATCCAGCAATATATATAATCAACATGAGTTGTTCAGTTGATACAGACAATACAGCCACATTTAGAATTAAAAATCATATGATATCAGTTTTTGTTTTATTTAAAAAATATAATTTATATGATAAACGTCTAGTAAGGTTTTTAATTTCCAAATCTAATATAATATTATATTTGCAAATATCCAAAATTAAATATTTAACTTTCTAAAAAAGATATTGTTTTAGATTATATATTATATATTCTACTGTGATCATAACAATTTAGAATCACTAAATTTTTAAAAACTGCATTTTATTATGTGTGGTATTACAAATTATAGTTTTACATACTAATGTATTTTGTATAATAATAATCGTAACAATATAATAATTTGATTATTTTATAGTCAGATACTCTATAACCAATAATCAGAAATAAAAAATTAGTAATGTCATAGTAATTGATTGCATTTATTGAAGATCAGAAATTAATATTTAAATAGCATTAAAATTAATACACATTTAAGTTCCAAAGGTTAAAAAAATATTACCAGTATGCCAATAACATACAAATAATACATCAGTTTATATACAATGAATTACAGTTCTATAACGTTATAATTCTAGTACCTACTTAACAATTAATTATCAATTAGATCAAGCATAAAATATATATTTCGTACAAAAGTAAAATATTAAATAAATATATTAGTGAATATGGTCCATAAAATTATATATATTTTAATTATTTGATATTAGTTATTACTCAATAATAACCATGAAGTAACTTCTCAACTAAGCAATACATTTGCAAGGACAATATGAAACAATTTTATAACTAATCAATCTTCTTCTGCCACCATTAAGCCCATACTAAGTTTTGGTTGCATTGAGCTCAAGAATGTTTGTTCATCTCCACGTATACTTAAATGGATTTCATCAACTTTTTTGTGACTCATCATTGGGGCTCGTTCCCATTTGGAACCATTACAATTTTTGCACGAAATCAAAGGGAACATTGTCAAACAAGCTATTCTTGAGTTGCAATCATTACATTTGAAAAACCTTTTAGTAGCATCAAGTACACGCAAAGTATGTTTTTCAGTTTTACACCATTCAGATGCTGAAAACCAAGTATATTTGCATACCAGACAACGTACAGCCTTACATTGCACTTTGTATGTGTTCATCATTTTGTGTTCCATTTTTTCCTTTTTATCCATTTGATCAAAATATTTGTCTTCAGCTTCTTGCTGAGCTGTATCAATAAGATCTTGGTTCTGAGAAGTAGCTTTCATAAGTTCTAAAAATCTTGGTGAAACTTTTTCTTCGACAGCAACTTTCTTTTTTTGGCCTAAATCTAAAACAATCTCTTCAGGCAATTTTCTTTTTTTACCACCCTTACTTTTTTCAAATAAATTGGGATTTTCTTTTTGAATTGTCCCATTTGATTTAATCCAATTCAATGCACTAGCTTTGGCACATTTTGGACGCATAGATCCAAAATTTTTTTGATTTGATGAGCTACCTAATATATCTTTGAATGTACACATTTTTTGAGCTTCTTTATGATCAATATTCTTTTTTCCTGACCCACTCATTTCATTAGTTTTTAAATCACTAACAGAGTCATTAATAACAGTAGCTCGACGATTAGCAATAGTAGCACGAGGTGCAGTGGTAAGAGATTTAATTGGGTCTAACGCAAGCAGTTTGCCAGCATTCAATCGTTGAAGCTTCACTTGGTCTTCTTTCATTAATTGTGAATGATTAGATTTAGTAGACACAAAACTTCGACCACCGTAAAACACTTCGTTTTTTCCCAACACCTATCATAATAATAATGAAGATAAACAATTAATATAACTTATATATTTTAAATATTATGTACAACAAAATACTTTATCACGTAAACTGTGGGCGGCTGTTGGTCTAGAATTTCCAATATTTGCTCTTTGACTACAATGCTTGATATATTCTTGTTTAACATGATATGTACAAACATCACAGTTATTAATGTTTACAAACATATCACACTTGTCTCCATTTTTCTTAGTTCCTTTACAAGTCCCAAAATGTTTGGATCTGCCCCACAACATCACTTGATCACCACTATTTATGGATAATGCTATTTCATCTTTCTTGTCTTTACCATCCATTTCTATTTAAGCAAATAAAATAATAGTAGTTAATATATCATAGTTAATCAATAAGACTCGAAAGTTGTAGGACTTAAAGACTAAAGTAGACAAAATATGTATGTAAATATACATACATTTTTTTTAAATATGCAAATAATTTTATTCAAAATTCTAAAATATTTTGTTGATTTAATAATCATTATTTTTAATGAACAGTATTATATTGTTATTTGTTAGTATATTACTATATTAAAATTGATTTACTAAATAAATTTAAAATTTAAAAGATAGATCTCATCAGTGGAGAACTGGTTGCAATGTTAATTATTGAACTGAAAAAATATTATCAGTACCTAAATAGTATTAACAGAATTATATTTTCAATATTTGAGAAATTGAATTTGATCATTGATACGACCTTGAGGTCTTTGTCAATCCTTATTTCAAATGGGTAGTATGCAGATCATGTGATTCATTTATCTATTTCAATATTACCATATGCATGATACTACCCCCCTTCTCCAAGAGGAGACATGTGTGGTCAAACCGATAACTGTGCGAGTCGTAGTCAACTACGTGATCATTGTAACACTTCGGCTCAAAATTGTATACTAAAATGAAACACTAAATTTAAATAAATTTAAAAAGGCCCCTTTTTTCTAAAATGTACTTAATATGCAGAATACTCAACTTCCTACACCTTCTGAGCCTTACTAATCAGGTATATTTGGTTGAAATAGTAACTGATCCGATTATTATCTTAATACCCACTCTCAGTATACTACAGAAGACCCCTCACTGAGGAATATTAGCACAGCGTAGTTGTTTAGAGAACTATTAATCTATGGTCAACGCACTGTGCGTCCTCTTGTAAATCAGATTTTAGTTCATTGACTATCAATTTGAATACATAATACTATAAACATGTTTTTGCAAAACAAGGAATTCAATATACTGTCTACCCTAATTTTGATTATATTCATTACTATAGAACTCACAAAATAATACACTAAATAATTGTTTAAACAAAACAACAGAAATGGTAGACCTAATACATATAACAGAAAGTCGTGATTTATTAATTTTATAGTAACACATAATTTGTGTATGGTTATCTGATTATTATAATAGTCATTAGTCAATACGTCTCACCTTTTGGATTCAGTATTCCAACAACAAATCCTACTTCTGTTTTCCATAAGTCAGCATGTGAGCGGCCAAATAAAAATAATGTAATAGTGTTCATACCTGGTTTTAAGTCACTTATTTTCCATATGCTAAAAGTAGAACCTACAATATAAGAGTATTTAAGAAAAAAACCAAATAATTAAACTATAAACGAGGCAGTAAAATCATACCTTTTTGTGAAGTCTTTGGAAGAGATTTGTTTACCAAAACGCCAGCTACAACCCAATCGGAATTGTCTGCAGACCTAAGATGTGCTTTAACTTGGCTAACGGGTACTGGTACTTTACCGATCATCCTGTCTTGAATTGTCTGAGATGACAACAATGGATTTATCATACATAGACCAAACACAGGGTCTGCTGAGGGATCAAATCCAAATTTCGGTAATTTGGGTATGGACTTCTTTTTTGGTTCACATTTAACTACCTCTTCATCTAAATCGACAATTTTCGACTTCATCGACTTGAAAAAGTCACTAAATGTTCCGGCTGCCTTTTTAGAATAACTCTCAGCCAGTGGACTACCGTTGTCGATGTTGTCTTTTATTACATCTACAGATATTAAAAAAAACCGGAACGGGTGATTTAAAAACAACATAATATTATTATTATACGTTGCCGATAGATTCTTAAACCAACCGATGGGCGATTATACACATACCCTGTTTAGTGTCTATGATTTTTTCCGTAGTTGCCGGAACACCATCGAGTTCAGCATCCAAGAACAGAGCCAAAGCTTTTAGATCGTCGTCGTCGGAGTTCATGTCGCCGGACATAGGACGAGAACCGCGTTCGCGAAGAGGTCAAAAATGTAGTACAACGTTAGCTGCAGTTGTGTCAGACACTCAAGACGTGAGTAGAAACTCGTATGTGTATCATCTGTTTATTTATTTTGTTAATTACCTATAATCATAGATTAAAGAATACAATTATTATTAACTATTACTATCGTTTATCGACGAGACCAAAATAATACGATATTGTAAATTTAAAATTATCATTATTATTTTACCCGTAAGTGATTTTTGATGATACGTACGCATATTGTCGCATTCGTGTATATTTTACTTTGTGTTATTTTGGCGGCAAACGCAATATTGATAGTAAACATCGGTCTATCAATCGTAATTTTATGATAATAAAGTGACGGCGGCGCCATCTAGCTCAGGGTAATTTAACGATGGTGTGTTCGAACCGTACTGTGTTTAGTACCTCCACTACAGACTGTTAACCACAGAACATTGCAAAACCGCTAAAACAAGAAACACGAAACACTTTATTTCTATCGATTAGAAACTAGACTTCCGAGGTGTGCGACCTCAGTACAAAGCTCAACACAACACATAATAAATAATATCATGAATTATTAACTAACAAGTAAACCATGATACCTAAACTTTCCTAAAGGTACGTTATGAATATTATTTGAACTGTAAAATATTGTTGTAGTTACCTAATAATAATTGTTAAAATAGTTCACACCAAGGCACCAAGCCAATAATATAAAATGGTTGATACCTTTTTCAACTAAAGAAAATATGTTTAGAAGTGTAAATAACTAGGTATTATGCTAATAAATCACATACAACAAAACAATAATAATAAATAATATATAATATATAATTTTTGTTGCATAACGACAAGCATAGGTCCGTTAACCGTTTTAATCAACATTTTGAACGAGCCATTTCAAATAAGCCGAGTTCATCACATAATTGATATTTGATTCTTAGAACACAACAACTCTTCCTATACTTATAGGTAGTACCTAATTAGTAGCTCTAGTCTCTTCCTGTAATTCTCTTTTACACAATTTGAAATAATTTATAACTAATAACAAAAGGTAGGTACCAATCTATAAATATGTTGTACCTGTATAGATTATATCATCAATCATCATAGACCATACTACCATAGTACTATAGTAGGTATATCAGTATACTATGGTAAAACAATTACACGATTATTTACATATTTATAATAGTTAGGCATCAGTTTTAAATTTAAAGTCTGTGGTTTATTAAATTATATTATAAATTATTAAATTTGTAATCTTGATCACTCTGGTATTCTCGGACTGTGGTATAGGTTAACAGGTGGCAGATAGGTATAACATTTAATTATCCCTACATAATTTCCACGTGTTGCATATTTTAATTATTAGACTTTTTAAATCTACTATCTACCTATGTATAACAATAGTATGCGTTCATTTTTAATATCATTCATGCATTATTATTATTAATATTATTAAAGAGTTGAAATATAAGTTAAAAATAATGATAAGCTATGTATTTTATAATGTTATCGTATACTTGTATAATAAATGTATAATGATTAAGTGTCTACGTATTATAGTACTATAAGGTCTATGCGAATTATCTTATCTTTTTTTGTTATATAGCGTATCTCACCTAGTTGTTCCCATTAATTGTTTAGTTTAATATAATATTTGATATTTTTACTTAAATAGAATGCTATACTCATCACATGCAGTGCCGGATCTAAGTTTCAGGAGGCCGGGGTGCAACTACCAATTGGAGGCCCCTTAAAAAAAAAAATGTTCTCGATACATTACACTTATCTATTTATTTGATACGTTTCGTCATTTTGATATATTAAACAAACTAAAAAACACAAAATTTAAATTCTATAATTTAATGGGTAAATTATGAAATTATGCATTCACTTATTGAGTCCCTATTCTCATATCTATTATACCACCATAGGCCGTGCATAGACTTTGTTCGCAGGGTATGCGAATGATATAATGTAGTGCCCCATGATATAAATGCTCTTAAAATGGATGTACATGGCAGGCCTGGATACAAGGGGGAGTGATGGAGCCCTATATTATATAATTTTCAATTCAAGTAATAATATTCTAATATTATATAATATAAATTCTAATAAAATAAATATTTAATTTTACCATATATTTGTTATACCTAATTTTTATGGGGGCCATATCTTAGTACATATACGGTTATTTTTAGGTGCATATTGTAGGACATATAATTTGGCCATTTTTTGGTGCATATTTGGGTATTTTTAGAGATAAAAGTCCCTAAGCCTAGTTATAACCCACCAAAATATTCAAGTAAAATCTAAATATATTTTGTTTTTCCAAAGTATGATAAAAAGGTATAAAATTAATATTTTGTTTGCCTGAAGTCAGTGGGCCCAGTGCAAATGTTCCATTTGTCCTTCCATAAATATGGCACTGGACACAAATATAAATCAGGTACCTCAGTTACCTGAATTGAATACAAAATTATTCATCAATCCTTTATATTTTTTTAATTCATTGTTTTGAACGTTTTTCTCCATCTTTTAGATGCACCACTTTCAAATTGTCAGCTATTAGACATGTTTTTTTCAAGTCAATAAAAGATAGTGTAGGTAGGTACCTAATTTATATTTTTTGATAATCAAATGAAAAATTAATATAATAGAGTAGGTAAAGAAAACTGACAAAAGTACAAAATAACATATCCGAATAACACGCTGCACCAACGCATGTCCGTAAATCATAATCCGTTTTTACTTTATATTAAACAATAAATAAATATAACCACAGTTATATTATTAATTTGTCTAGTAAGATATTGCACTCACGGCTAGAGCGACTTCGCGAGCCTCTGAGATTAAATAAATAGTACGATTATACGAAAATAGTATACGATGCATACTATATTTAATTAATATGTATACAAATAAATATGTAAAACAAACAATAACAATGATAAATAGTATTATCTTAAATTCAAACCGTCCAAAATAAATGGTTGCCACTTGTCAGTAACATCTTAAAATAATAAAGTTTGTTCATTTTATAATAAAAAGTTATAGAAAGTTAGAAAATGTAGTACTTCAACCTGAGGCCCCTAAAACAACCTTGATCTTGAGGCCCCGGTGCAATGCACCCCCTGCACCCCCTCTAAATCCGGCACTGATCACATGCATTATAATTCATATAATATTTTTTTGATTACGACGTCGTACCCACATTGTTGTTTCTGTCTTATACACGAAGGGCCTTATTTACGCAAGGAAATTGTGGGTATTTGTCCAGGGCCCATGCGAATAAGGCCCACTTACTGGATTTAATTCTTTTAAATTTTATTAATCCTTAAACTTGAATAACACCAAAAAAGTGGGGACATTATAAAATACTTATTAAAATATCAATTATATTGTTCACTATCATCAAAAATTTAGTTATGAGATAAGAAATACAAATACTCGTTAAGATGCAGGTCTATTATTTTACGTCACATGTATTATTTATTTTTGTATTTATAAACAGTTAAATGGACCTAACTATACATCAAAATTTCTCAAAAATAACATAGTATTGTATTTAAAACTATCACGAGTAGATGAAAAAAAATCTAATGGTTCTAATGAGGAGGTTCGAGGAGATTTTATTAGTTATATTTAGGATGCACGGAAAAAATGAATCTGCACCAGATTTTTTCAGATAGTAGGGAATAATAATCTTTACTTCTAGAGAAGTATGAATTATGATGGTACGTGAAATCCTAATTTTTCCAATAAATATGGATATTCAATATTTCCATTTAATAGATCATACTTATATAAATAATACATCAGCTAATTTTCTTCTAAGAGGCAAAGAGTCTAGACCAATAGAAAATTAGACTGCAACACTGCATAAAATTCTCTAGTACAGGAATAGTATTGTATTGATACCATATTACCGTGGTTTAAAAGTAGTTTTGACAGATATGTGTATAGTTATGATACATAATATATTAATATATCTATATATATATATTATGTACATGGGCGTTCTCACGGGGGGGATATGGGGGATAGATCCCCCCCCAAGGTTCTTTATATTTTAAAAAATTAGTAATACACGTTTTGTCTACTTTTGATATGTGTTTGTGTTTTCAATATTGACTTGGTAGTTATTATTTTTTTTTTTTTTGCAATTTTTCTTTATCGTGATTACTGATTCCACCAGCCATAAACAATATTATTATTTATCACTGATAATTATAACATGTAACAGGCAATTCGCTTTACAATTGATTTGTACTGTATTTTTGTAAACAATCACTCCGTCAACTTCATAAATTCCCAGCGTCAGAAAAAATGAAAAGGTAAGATACACAATGATAACACCACAGTGATAAAATAAAATAAATAATTTAAACCAGGGATGGAAAACGTTTTTAAAAAACGTTAGTAAACGGAAAAAAAAAACTAAAACAATAAATAAAACAAAAACAAAAAACCATAACAAAAAATCCCAAAAACAGAAAAAAATTAATTACGAAATCAAAAACGAAAACGCAAATAAATTATAGTATTATACATTATTATATTAATAACACGAAAAAAAAATGTTACTTAAGTATTTACTTTTTAATCTTTACCAACAATGCTCTATTAAAATTTAAAAACATTTTTATTTGAAATCAAGAATAATTAATTTTAATTTTTAACTCTTAAGTGCATTTCTAAATTGCTAAATTTACTACTATAAAAAAAAAACAATATTATCAAAAACAATATAGAAAAATAACGTTTTTAAAAACGTTAAACAAAAACGAAAAAATTAAAAACATTTTCCATTCCTGATTTAAACTGATTCATAACATTCTTTTATAGTTCAAATAAAAAGAACAATAAATATGACTTGAATTGATTATTTGATATTATCAACTATATTACTATCAATATTATTAGATTCTGAGCGGAGTGAGGGATCTATTGGTTTTTCAATATTGTTTATATTTATTTT